AAAAAAAAAAAAAAAAAAAAGTATACAAGCAGCTATCGTACTCTGTAGCCCGAAAAATACATCAAAACACATTGAGTCAAGAAAAAATTAAAATCACTTTATTTTGACATCATGAAAGTCAAAATGATTTTTAGTTACAAAATTTGACTGTTGTTGTTAAGAAATTAAAATAAAGTCATTTTGATTTTTTTATTGACTTATATGTTCCTGATTAGGTGGTGCGTCGTCACGTGCCTGCAGAAACAAAAATGTACAAATTGGCTGCCCAGCAAACCATGATTATAACGGTTACATCAGTTACATAACATAGTGTGGCGACCCGCCACCAGAGGTCCAAGGAAGAGACTCGCGCCAATTCTCGCATGTATTCGAGGCGCGCGAAATCCGTTTATATAGAACCTCCATGTAAGACTTCTTCAGGCGTCTGATGTAGGCTTCCACTACGATGCCACAGTATACTATGACGATGCTTTACTGACGAAGTAAAGTTCCAGCACGCCTATTCTGTAATTCTTTTAACGCAAGTTTCCTTATCATTAGATATGGATGAGCGCAATATGTTTCATCGATTATACAAAATATCGATGTTTTTTCCGGTCAATAATCGATGATTAATTCGATGTTTCAGAACTTAAATATAATATAGAGGAAGAAGAAGACAATGACTAATGAGGCAATAACTTTACGTTAAAAATTACATTAAATTAATTTTTAATATATTGCGAAGAATATTACTTAATTATGGCGTTTCGTCCCAGCTTCACTCATCAGTAATGCATTGTAGTGGAAGTAGCCTACCTTATACGCCGGTAAGAGTTATTCAATTGAGATTCTATATAAAGAGATGTACGCGTATTAAAGCACTTGCGAGAATTTGCGAATATCGATAGACCTCTGATGGCGGATCGACGACGTAGTAAAATATTTTTCGCAATATTTATCATTAGTAATATATGTATTACCCCCACCCTTCCCAACTTGCGCGCCGAACAATCGTCTTGAAACGCAACTTTATCCGAAAAATCCCAACTACTTAAGTCTATATAGAGTTCTAGATTTATTATTACAAGCTCATTTTTGCTCCTCAGTGTATACACAAAAGTGTACTCTATTTCTTCTTTTATTTTGTGTTAAAAATAATTTAAAAAATTGTTTTTCTAAGGTGCATAAAATTTTGTACGCGATTTCTCCTTTTATTTAGTCATAATAAAAAAGTCAATACAATTAGTCCATAATCAAAAAATTGTAATTCAATATCTAAAAATAATTTTAAATAATGAAAAAACAATAAAATTTAGTAATTATTTTTTTTTTAAATTATCGATTTTACCAACATCGATGTTTTCTTCTTCGATGAATCGGTTAATTAAATATCGGATTGGATCATAATCGATGATTTTAGAATCGATGGTTTTTTTTGAACATCGCCTATCCCTATATATAACGCTACTGCCGCAGCTTTTTTATCATATAATAAAAGAGCTGCGCGCAGCTGCGTTATAACGATAACGAAACTTGCGTTAAAAGTTACAGAATATACGTATGCAGTGCCCGTGGTAGATGACACATTTCGCTCACGAAAAGGGGCCAAAAGTGATGACGTGCTGTTGCTGTTGGGGTGCAGACATTTTAAGAGAGACCACTTAAAATGTGCGTTAAAGCGCCCTTGTCCTTGCTTACCTGCAAACAGTCCGAACCTGACTGCGCAGGGTGAAAACAGCGGTTTGACATCATCTCCCTGTTTCAGGAAGCGACTTTTTTTTTGTGGTTTGTTATTCCTAAAGCCCATTCTATAATTGCGTAAGTGTAGTTGTAAATGATTGTAGTTGTACCGAATTAACCAATCACAGTCAAATATTGAAAAAATGTTCAACTGTGCGATTAGTGAATTCTTAGGGATGCGCAGAATAAAAGGAACAGGGAATACGAATTTCAACCTATCAGAAATCATGTACTATGGAATATACACTGTTTATTCCACAGTATTATGATTTCTGATAGGTTGAAATTTTTATTCTCTGTTCTCTGTTCCTTTTATTCTGCGCAGTCCTTACAACTACAATCACTTACAATTATGTTTACACGATTGTAGAATGGGCGCAATAGTGTTCACAACACTACTGATAACTGCAGTTAATACTCATCATGCTGGGCGCGTTCAACTGAATGTTTATTTTGAATAAATATTTAGTAAGTATGTTTTCCTGTAATTTCGTAAATTTTTGAGCAACACGATTTTCTTTCTCGAATATTTACAGTCGAGCGCATGCAAAATGTTAATATATAATTAAGAACTCGTAAAACACAAAAACAGTAACATTACATCAATATTCCCCACTGAACAATTGACGTAAAATATAGTATCACACATTATATGTTGTATGTGACAGTTATTACATAATTGTATAGGAAAATTATTATAATATTGACGTAAATAATGTTATATTACTGTTTGTGCTCTGCAGGTTGTCGTTTGTTTCAATTTTGACAATCGCTTATATATTTTCTATAATAATTCTATAACTTTTTGAGTTTCTAAGCTCAATCTGCCTCCGTTTATATTAATTGTGTAAGTATAGAATTCTGATCTAGAAAAAGAAAGAGAGGGAGAAAGCGCGTATCGCCAGTTGAAAGGAATAATGTTGAACCTGAATTTCAGGGGTGAGGGTGTCTCATATATTATATTCTACCTCCTCCCATGCATATCATTTGATATATTTGCTTACTTCTCGGTAAACTTCATTAACAAGATCTCGACCAAGCCAGAAAAATACAGCTACAATCGGTTATAATCACCGTAAAAGATGGTTGCCTGTATTGGATGGCGCAAGACGGTCCTTGACGTCGAAGCCGTGATGACAAAATTTATCGATAGCATATATGAACAACAAATGTTGCGACCGATAAGAACTACGTTATTATTTTACCAAAAAGCGACAATCCGTTTTATCTTTGTATTTGAATTGCTTTATCGAAACTCGATCTTTCATCGTCATCGACGCGAGGACCACCGGGATGTTTCTTTATGCCATCCTATATAAATTATATACAATGAACACGGCAGTGATATATAATATATTTACATATCCTTGCCATTCACTATTTTCTATGATATTCGCTGCTCGCAATTTTATCTATGGATTCGAGCTAGGATTTGTTCCTCGAATAAACTTCAACGTTCGATTTATCATTTAATTATCGTCTCGACATTCTACTTTATTTCTCAAAAAGAAAACATCGACAAAATGTATTTAACAACGGTTACAGTCGGTCTCGTTAAACAAGAGGCGCGATTGCTCTCGCCATCGTTCTGTACCTACAATATGTCTTGAAATGTACGTCTCTGTTTAAAAGACGCATCTAGCTAATCGATCTGGCGAATTGCGAAAAAGTACACGAATTTAATTATTCACTGTCACGTCGACCTATTGGAATATACAATATTTCGGTCTCGATAAAAGAACAGAAAATAATTCAACCGCTGCAATTCATATGATTCAGTACAATCCAAATACATTCAAAATAATTGAGAAAATTTAATTGACAATTATTCAAGTTAAAAAAGAAACCAAGATTCGTTTTTCTTTGTTTATATTTTACGAACGTAATAAATAAGCGCGTAAATTACATAATATCGCATATTTGTTATAAAAAAAGAAATTTTAATCATAAAAAGTTTCTTGGAGAGA